ATTAAATGCTCTAGTCAAAAGACACAGAATACCTGAATGGATAAGAAAGCATGACCCTCACATATGCTGCCTACAAAAGACCCACCTCAGGACAAAAGACCATCACAGACTAAAAGTGAAAGGCTAGAAACAAGTTTTCCGAGCAAACGGACAAGAAAAAAAAGCTGGGGTAGCAATTCTCATATCGGACAAAATAGACTTCAAAGAGAGGGCCATAAACAGAGACCCAGAAGGTCACTTCATAATACTCAACGGAATAATCCACCAAGAAGACATTAACATTGTAAATATATATGCACCCAACATAGGAGCACCCAAATATATCAAGAAAATCTTAGAGGACTTCAAAAAAGATGTTGACAGCAACACAAATATAGTAGGGGATTTGAACACCCCACTATCAAAAATGGACAGATCTTCCAAACAAAATATCAACAAAGATATTGCGGCATTAAACAACACCCTAGATGAAATGGACTTAACTGATATACATATAGAGCCCTTCATCACAAAGAAGCTAAATAAACATTCCTTTCAAATGCACATGGAACATTTTCAAACATAGACCACATAACAGGACACAAAATGAGCCTCAACAAATTCAACAAAATTGAAATCATACCAAGCATTTTCTCCAATCACAAGGGACTGAAATTGGAAACCAACCCCAAAGGAAAAACCCAAAGCACCCAAAATCATGGAGACTGAATGGTATGCTATTAAACAATGAATGGGTCAAGAATGAAATTAGGGAACAAATCAAAAAGTTTCTGGAAACAAATGAAAAAGAACTCACAACAAGCCAAAACTTATGGGACACAGCGAGGGCAGTCCTGAGAGGGAAGTTTATAGCAATACAGACCTACCTAAAGAAGACAGAAACATTTCAAACAAATAACCTAACTCTACGCCTGCAAGAACTCGAGGAACAACAACAAAGACAGCCCAGAGCAAGCAGAAGGAAGGAAATAACCAAGATTAGAGCAGAACTAAATGACATAGAGACCAAAAGCACAATTCTAAAAATCAATGAATCCAGGAGTTGGTTCTTTGAAAAGATAAACAAAATAGACAAGCCTTTAAGTAGGCTCATCAAGAAAAGAAGAGAGAGGACTCAAATAAACAATCAGAAATGAAATAGGAGAGATTACAACTGATACCACAGGAATAAAAGGGATTGTAAGAAATTACTATGAAGAACTGTATGCCAAGAAATTTGAAAACCTAGGCGAAATGGACACATTTCTAGAAAAATATAATCTTCCAAAACTCAATGAAAAAGAAGCAGAAAATCTGAACACACCAATAACAGCAAAAGAAATTGAAGCAGTGATCAAAAAACTTCCATCACACAAAAGCCCTGGAAAAGATGGGTTCACAGGAGAATTCTACAAAGCATTTAGGAAAGAGCTAACCCCTATTCTTCACAGACTATTCCAAAAAATCCAGAAGGATGGAAAACTCCCAAATTCTTTTTATGAAGCCAGCATCATCCTAATTCCAAAACCAGATACAGGCACAACAAAGAAAGAAAACTTGAGGCCAATATCACTGATGAACATAGATGGTAAAATTCTCAACAAAATATTGGCAAATCTTATCCTACAATACATTAAAAAGGTCATACACCATGATCAAGTGTGATTCATCCCAACGATGCAAGGATGGTTCAATATTTGAAAATCAGTAAATGTAATACATCACATAAACAAAGTAAAGACAAAAACCACATGATCATATCAATAGATGCGGAAAAAGCTTTTGATAAGGTACAACACCCATTTATGATAAAAACACTCAGCAAAGTGGGAATAGAGGGAGCATTCCTCAATATAATAAAGGCCATATATGAGAGACCTACAGCCAACATCATACTCAATGGGCAAAATCTAAAAGCTTTTCCACTAAGATCAGGAACAAGACAAGGATGTCTACTTTCACCACTTCTGTTCAATATAGTTTTGGAAGTTTTGGCCACAGTGATTAGGCAAGAAAAGGAAATAAAAGGCATTCAGATAGGAAAGGAGGAAACAAAAGTGTCACTGTTTACAGATGACATGATAGTGTAAATGGAAAATCCTATAGACTCTACCCCAAAATTGCTCGAACTAATTAATGAATTTGGCAAAACAGCTGGTTACAAAGTCAATATCTGGAAATGAAAGGCATTTTTTATAACAACAATGAATCAGCAGAAGCAGAAATCAAGGAAAAAATCCCATTCAATATAGCAAAAAGAAAAATAAAATATCTGGGAATAAACCTAACCAAGGAGGTAAGAGACCTGTATGCAGAAAACTACACAGCACCGAAGAAAGAAATCAAGGAAGACACAAACAAATGGAAACATATATCGTGTTACTGGATTGGAAGAATTAACATCATCAAAATGTCCATACTACCCAAAGCAACTTACAGATTCAATGCAATACCTATTAAAATACCAATGGCATATTTCACAGACATAGAACAAACACTTCAAAATTTTTATGGAACCACAAATGACCCCGAATAGCAGCTGCACTCTTGAGAAAGAAGAACAAAGTAGGAGGGATCACAATACCTGAAATCAAACTGTATTACAAGGCCACTGTAATCAAAACAGCCTGGTACTGGCATAAAAACAGGCACATAGACCAATGGAACAGAACAGAAAGCCCAGAAATCAACCCAACTCTCTACAGTAAATTAATATTTGACAAAGGGGGCAGTAACATAAAATGGAGTAAATATAGCCTCTTCAACAAATGGTATTGGGAGAACTGGACAGCTACGTGCAAAAAAATGAAACTTGAGCACCAACTTACACCATACACCAAAATAAATTCAAGGTGGATAAAAGATTTAAATATAAGCTGTGATGCCATTAAAGTCCTGAAGAAGAACATCGGCAATAAAATCTCAGATATTTTACTCAGGAACATTTTTATCAATATGTCCCCTAGAGCAAGGAATATAAAGGAAAGAATAAACAAATGGGATCTCATCAAAGTTAAAAGCTTCTGTGTGGCTAAAGGAAACAGTATTAAAATAAAAAGACAACCAACTGTATGGGAAAACTTATTTGCCAATGATACCTCAGACAAGGGTTTGATCTCCAAAATATACAAAGAACTTACAAGACTCCACTCTAAGAAGACAATCAACCCAATTAAAAAATGGGAAAAAGATTTGAACAGACAATTCTCCAAGGAGGACATACAGAACATCAAGAGAAACATGAAGAGATGCTCAATATCGTTAGCTATCAGAGAGATGCAAATTAAAACCATAATGAGATATCACTTTACACCAGTCAGGATGGCTATCATAAACAAAGCAACAAATAACATGTTGGAGAGGTTGTGGGGAAAAGGGGTCCTTAGTTCACTGTTGGTGGGATTGCAGACTGGTACAACCATTATGGAAAACAGTATGGAATTTTCTGAGAAAAATAAAAATCGACCTGCCTTTTGACCCAGCAATTCCACTGCTAGGATTATATCCTAAGAATCCTAAAACACCAATCCAAAAGAACCTATGCACCACAGTGTTCATAGCAGCACAATTTATAATAGCAAAGAAGTGGAAGCAACCTAGGTGCCCATCAGTAAATGAACAGATCCAAAAATTGTGGTACATATACACAATGGAATTTTATGCAGCAGAGAGAAAGAAGGAGCTCCTACCCTTTGCAACAACATGGATGGAACTGGAAAGCATTATGCTGAGTGAAATAGGTCAGGTGTTGAAAGACAAATACCATGTGATCTCACCTTTAACAGGAAGGTAAGCAAGAAAATAATCAAGCAAGCAGATAAAAACAAAGACACTGAAATGGAGAAAAAGGGGACAGTGAGCAGAGGGGAGAGGGAAGGGAATTTAAGGGGGATAAAGGGGAAGGATTTGGAGGATAAATATGAAGGGCACAAGGACAATAACTAAGGGGGGTGGAAATGGGAGGGAGGTGGGGAGCAAGGGGCAGGGGGGCTGGGATGGGAGAAATAGACAAAAAACTGTACTTAAAAATAACTAGATGAAATTATTTCATAAATAAATAAATAAATAAATAAATAAATAAATAAATAAATAAATAAATAGTGAGAGATTGAATGGAAAAGATGACAGAGCACAAATAAGCCATGGGATGACTACCTGAGCGCTGGAAATAACAGGGACCACCCCAACTCCTTTCTATGCCCCATGCCCAGCAGCTGTGCTCTGTATTTCTACACATACCAGAAATTCTAGAAAGTGGGTCTCATTTATAATCTTCTTCTAGACGTAAAGTTCAGAGAAATACACCCAGGATCACACAGCTAGAAAGTAGAACAAGTGGATTCAAATACAGATTGGCTGGATCTCAAATCCATGCTATCACCAGGTTACTCTAATTCATACAGGGACATTTGTGTTTTTTTCCATATATTCTTTTGAGAGCACATTTTTGAAGCATCCATTAGACCCAAATGGAAGTAGATCTTGGACTTGACCCAGAAAGGCAGTGCTAATAACTTTCAGAATACTCTGTATTTAAGGTCAAGGATGAGGGAGATCGGGCCTGAATCCTTATTCTAGGTCAGTGATTCTTAACTCCTGCACCACAGTGGAATCACCTGGCTACACCCTATAAAATCAAATAAGAAATCAGGTGCTGGGATGTAGACAAGCAGGAATTCAGTAATTGCTGGAGTGAAACCATTATCTAGAGAGATGGTCTCAAAGTCCACTAGGAGTATCAGGACAATAATACATAGCTGTGTTCAAGTGGTCAGAGATAATGTAATTGTCATCTTAGAGACCCTACTATTGTTTCAGCAGCTGAGTCCTAGATGGATTTGTAGTTATTTGAACAAGTAAAAACCATAAGTGAATCCCAATAAGTAGTATTAATCAGAGAGAAAAGTCTTAAGCAAAAGAGCTAAAAGATAATTTTTAACATTCATGAGACAGCAATGAAATGGTATTAAAATGTGATTACTTATTTCTCAGCATTCATTTGATAGTTTAAGCAGCATGAAGCAATAGTTGCACTTAAAAATTACAAAAAAGAAAACTATTCATTTAGCCAACAGAAAATGTTCGTCCCCTTCTTAGATCATTAGTGCCACTGCTTGTCACCAAGGTGAGTGCCAAAGCATGTGTCTTTATGATGAGATGGTGTCCATAGCTCCTTTGCCTTGAGTTCCTGGAGCAAACCTTGAGGTCCTTCTGGGAGAAATATTGGGATAGACTGTGGCCTGCTTCCAAACCCTAGAACAATGAGGCCTGAGACTGCAAATTGCTGTGTGGTGACTGCTGAGTTTGGACATCTTCCAAGGGATGTCAGATGATCCTAGATGGGGAGTGGAGAGAATTAAAGACTGGGCCTGGGGGCAGGTCCCACACTAGTATGACTTTGCATTCTCAGTGCTGGACCCACTGAAAACCAATGACAGTGGTGTTCCTGCCAACAATTTTGTCTCTTCTTGCTCAGCCCTGTTTTCTTTTGGTATGGAAGGTGCATAGACTGGGGGAATGCCAGAGGAGTCAAGCAGGGCAACAGATAGAAGAGTGACACATCCCCTGCCTTCTGGTTATTGTACTATATTCCATAAAAAAATAAACACATTTTTACTATTTGTATATTGTTAATGCAATGAATGGCATTCCAGGCACTGGCAGGCTACAGAGAGAGCTGCACTGTCATTAATCTACCAGAATCGATCCAAAGACAGCATCAAGGGTAAGGATCTCTGAAGCTTCCACTTGGAAAGGTTAGCAGTGCCTATCTGTTTCATGTTGTAGACAGTGCTGTGAAAATTAAAGGGTAAAAACAAAAGAAATCCATGGGTAGAAAATTTCAGTGTTATGGAGTTTTTGGCAATTTATACTACACATCATCACACAGGTGTTTCTCCCTTGCTAACCCTGCTTGCTCTGCAATACACACAACTGGCGCCAAAATTTTCCCCTGTGTGCCCAAAGGAAACTCATAGGTGATTGTTCTTGGAGAGGTAGGCGATGAGGGCCACAGCCACGCCCACGTAGATGCCTGTTCCAATTGTGATGGAGAGCACAGCCAGGAACAGGGCCCGCCGAGAGCTGGTGCTGGCCTGGTGGAAATCCCCCTTGGCCACGGCTTTATTGGTCTGCAGAGTTGTAAATAAAGGAGGGAGAAGAAAAAGAAAATCAAGATGAGCAAGTCAGAACAAACGAAGTGAGTGTATGGTTCACCTCTCTCTCCCTTACAACCTGGAACTTAACTGATTCCAAGGAGAGAGTACTTGCCAAGGGAAACTGTGTCTCCTCCAAGCTGATGACAGCAGTTCTCCCTAACTGGTAAGGACTCAAGAAAACACCCATGGTCAGCAGTAGCCCAGGTGAGCACCACAAATGTGGGGCCTGAGTTCTTGGACACCAGTATGCCAGGAAGGGGATAGATATTACATCTCTAGTGCCCTGCTTTCTACCCAATATGACATTTCCTTTCTTTTGAATAACATTAAATTTTCTTAAGCATGTTCACATTTACTTTACATAATCTTTACAGCATAATAAGAATATGGAGAAGGATATCATGGTTCTCACTTCCCAGGGAAGATACTGTGGCATGAGATTATTAAATTGACTGAAGGATACTTGAGACTCTAGTCTTTAGCTGATGGCCTTGGAATTGTACTTTCGTTATCATGTCATTCCCTTATACAGCTAGATTTGTTACAATTCATACATCAAAAGTGATTTGATGTAATACCAATATCTAGATTTCTGTTTGCTCAATTACATAACAAGGTGTTGGTTTAAACTATGTTTTTTATTGCCATGAGGTAGTAGGATATGGAGGCTTTGGGTGCTGTACATGATCTGATGTTTTGTGATAGATACAAGTATCAACCCTAACCCCTTTCTTCCTTGTCCTGCTCTAAGAGTAAAGACTAGAAACAACAGCACAAGTGTGGGGAGTGTTGGGCGATTTAGCTGACTGTCATGGAGGGACTCTTTGTAAAAGGGTGCCTCATTTGGCAAATGAAGGTGAAAGCTGCCAGAGGGTATAACTCCCAGGAGGGTCACGTGATGCTGAGGGGGGTGACCTCACTTTAGCAGTGGATCTTTATGGTCAGGGTAAAGGCAGAGTCCACTACCCTGGTAAAATATCATAACTCACTGCCTGGCCCATCTCCAGAAACCAGATTTTGGCCAGATCCCATTTCCATGTGTCATCAGTGGTAGGAGTCCCATTTCTGCATTGTGTAGGCAGGTATGGGAGTCAGTATATTTTTTAGTCAAACTGAAAATACCAAGGTCTTTGAGATGGACCACAAAAGGTAAAACTCTGAGAGGACTCACAAAATAAATTTCTGTCCTCTGTGGGCCTGACTTGATCTGATGAGGTCTGGAGCTCTATGTTGAATTGAGAAGGAACTTTGGTCTACTTCATGGCTGCCCACTCTTTTCCCTAATTTTTGGATCCTGAAGACAAGTTTTTATGTCTTCTTCCTCCCCAAAGTTTTTAGCTTGGAAGTGAGCTTGGGAACTAACCACCAATACTTTTTAATGAAGCAGGGTTAAGGGAATACAAAATGAGAAGCCTCATAAGATAGTAGTAATTAAGTCTTAATGGGCTGAGTTTTATTTTCCTGGTAGTACTCCCATACTCCAAGATCCTAGAATGTAATTCACTGTAACTGCCCATCCTCAGCCAGGCAGCTATTCTCCATTAAAATGGAATTTGCTATTATCTCTGCCATTAGCCCCCTCCTTGTTGCTATCTATCCTGGGCTCTGCTGTAGGAGCAATACATACAGAGAGGAAGGCAGGATGCCACTCTGCATTCCTTACCTCTGTACTCAGTCTCCTACAAGGAGTTCCTCTGTCTCAGAGGACTATCCTATTAGAGTTCACATATTTTAGTAATGCCTTTTAATGTTTGCCTTCCATGCTCAACTGTGACCTCTAGAGACAGGTCCACATCTCCCTTGTCTACCTGTTCTGCCCAAAGCCTGGGCTCATGCACTGGGGGAATGGCAGGAACTTACTGAACATTTGATGAGTGACCAGGAAAGTGGTCTCTATAAGATCAGTTCTGTTCAAATGATCCCAATTTGTACTGGTCCCCAGGTACATGCTCCTGGTTTCTCTGTGGGCCTTTATGAGGAAGGCAATGCCCTGGATAATCTTGATCTAAGTTCTAGCTCAACTTCACAGAACCCCCATCCTCCTCCTGGTTTTGAGCATACACATAGTGCAGGCACTCTCATCCTCATAAATCCCAGTTGTCTGCTTGGGAATCACTCTTGCTTTTTGTTCTCATAGGCCAATTTAGGAAAACTTGATATCCATTTTTGTTCAGTTCTAGGGTGACTGCTCAACAAAGATCCAGGAATTGTGTTATGTAAGAGACAATTTCTGTTAAAATATGTCAGAAACAGCAAACAGATAAAGCCTCATTGACAAGCAGGCTACTTTTAGCCATGTTGCTCAGCATATTCATATCATAGAGGCTCCATGAGGAGCACTACCATTTACATGCTATATACAGACTGGATATCATGGTCTAACATGGGAGATCCCTGTCATACTTCCTTTGTTTCACAAAATGATCACAGTGCTACGAAACAGCTTGTTCCTCTTTTTGAGAGAGTGTAGACTCAAAAAATGTTTCTATTCTCATAACTTCTGGACTAAAGATCCAGGGTTTGGGGACAGATTTTCTTGTTGTGTAAAAGGTCAAGAACTCTTGTCTTGGGTCCATGTGTTTATGAACCCTTTATGCTGAAGGAAAGACTGTGTGCTTGTGCATTTTTATAACAGGGCCAGCCAGGCTCAAGCACTTGTGAAGTAGGAGATAGTCATGAATGAGAAAACTCCTGAGGCACCCCAGGACTTGCAAAAGGACATCAATACTGGACAGAGACTCTGTTCTAAGACCAGTTGCCCCTGATTCCTGGAAAGTGCTGAATCATAATGAATCATGACTGCATCTTCGCAGAAGATGCTGCATACCCCTTCTTCACTATAATAGCATTATAATAAACTAGCATTGCGAGGTACCATCCCTGCAGTGGGCAATCAAGAAAAATCGTGGGAGATTATATGTGCAGTAGCTTAAAAGTAATATTAACTACTTGGACGGGTGCAATATAAGGCTACCAAAACTACTGAGGAAATATCCACCCAGTAAGAATAGAATCCCTATAGTTGCTGAAGGCCATTCTCTACTTGAACTTAGTCCACTATAGGAGACCATCCTCCATGGCATAGGAAATTGTAGCCCAGCTCTCACTTGGAAAGGCCAGTGGAAAGCAAGGTCTGGTACACAGGACCCACACCCATGGATAGGTTCTCCGATGGCGAATCAGGCCTGCATTGTACCTAGACCACCACTTTGAGACTTGCTTTTTGCTAAAACTCCCTCACCCTGAATCAACACAGAAAACTGTTTACTGACTATCTTTAAAGTAACTTCCTAAAATCTATGCTAAACCTCTCAAGGACAAGTGTAACCAGTTCAACCACTTTCCCTTTACATTTGCAAGTACCCTTCTTTTTTGATGTAATTAGCAATATCCTTTCCTTTGTTTTCTCCTAAAGAATGATCTTCTAAAGAAAATAAACCCTGATTCAGTCTCCCACAATCCCCACATAACAAGCCGTCCTTCACTTCTAAGATCACTCAAGAAATTTGTGAAGCTCTAGGCATAAAATATTATCTTCACTCTTATTGGAGACCCCAGCTCTATGTGGAAGGGTGAACGGGAAAATCAAACTTTAAAGGAACATTAGCAAAACTTTGTCAGGAGACCTATGAGAACTAGGCTAAGTTGCTACCTATACCTCTTAGAAGAATTAGTGGCTCCCCTGAGGCCAATACTAGCTTCAGCCCATTCAAAATGCTGTATGGCCAACTTTTTAAAACTCTGGATCTACTATTTAATACAGAGACCCATCAAGAGTTTAAGTAAGTAATAAACTTAAGGCAGGTACAAAAAGCTTTACAGGAATATAAAAACAAAATTTTCCAAGACCAGAAAGGGGACTTTCAAGCTACTATATCTCTAGGGGACTGGATACTCCTTAAAACTTGGAAAGAGGTATCACCAGCATACCAACTCAACCCTAAATGGAAAGGACCCTATCAGGGAGATCTGAGTACCCCTATGGATCAATGGTTGGGTTCATATTTCCAGGGTAAAGCCAGCTTCTACTGATCCTGATCTGACCCAAAACTAGCTAGAAACCCACAGCCCAGACTATAACAGCAAGCCTCTAGAGGAACTGTTCAAAAGTAATAAACCTTAAAAGATAAGTAATGATTAATGATGATGTAGTAAAATTACAATTATATTGAATACTTGCCCTTTTTGGAATTTTTTTTATCAGTACTGGTCTTCTGTAAGGGTGCTTATTTACTTCTGGATGAATCACATCTATGTGTGTTCAAATTGAAAATCTCTTTGTTGTTTCTATTAACCATTCTCTACTCACCTACACCCTATATAGGTAAATGGGATGAAAAAATTTTTTATTGTTGTTCAAGTACAGTTGTCTGCCTCTCCCACAGTACTCCCCTGCCCTGACTCCTGATGCCAGCCCTCCTCTTAGTTTTGTCCATGTGTCCTTTATAGTTGTTCCTGGAAAACCTTCTCCATTTCCCCACACCCCCATTATCTGCTCCCACCTCCCTGCTGGTTACTGTCAGAGTGTTCTTAATTTCAGTGTCCCTGATTATGTTTTCCTTGTTTGTTTTGTTGATTAGATTCTTCTTAAAGGTGAGATCATATAATATTTTTCTTTCACCATCTGGCTTATTTCATTTAGCATAATGCTCTCCAGTTCCATCCATGCTGTCACAAAGGGTAGGAGCTCCTTCTTTTTTTTTCTGCTGCATAGAATTCCATTCTGTAAGTCTACCATCATTTTTTTATCCATTCATTTACTGATGGGCATATGGGGTTGCTTCCAGCACTTGGCTATTGTAAATTGTGCTGGATGAACATTGGAGTGCATAGATTGTTTTGGATTGGTGTTTTAGAGTTCTTAGGATATAATCCCAGCAGTGGAATTGCCAGTTCAAAAGACAGTTCTATTTTTAGTTTCCTAAGGACATTCCATACTGTTTTCCATAGTTGTTGCACCAGTCTGCAATCTC